ATGATCTTATAGACCTCCATCATATCCCCCCTTAGTTGTCTGTTTTCTAAGTTGAACAGCTTAATCTTTTTAATCTCTTCTTGTATGGAAGCTGTTCCATCCCCTTGATCATCTTTGTTGCCCTTCTCTGAACCCTTTGCAGTTCCACAATATCCTTTTTGAGGTGGGGTGACCAGAACTGGACACAACACTATGATTTATATAGTGGCAATATGATATTTTCTATCCCTCTCTTAATTGTTCCTATCTTACTGTTAGACTTTTTGACCACTGGTGTGCATTGAGCAGAAGGTGTCAGAGAACTATCCACAGTGACTCCAAGATCTCTTTTTTTGGGTGGTAATTTAGAACCAGTGTTTTGTATGTATAGTTGGGATTATTTTTTCCAACGTGCATTGCTTTACACTTATCAGGGCAGTAAGAGGAAAGGCCTCCAAAACTCCTGCAGTTAGATTTGGATTACTCCACAGTGCACCTTACTGAACAGTGGCTTTCTCACAGCCCCTTGAAATTGAGGGGGCTCACAGAGGAGTCAGGTGCAGGCCTATAGATACCTTTACATTGCCCAGCCTGCTAGAATTGTAGTCCTATAGGTGAACCACAGTGGACCGATTAGCAAAGCTGATGTGTCATAACACTGCTGCCCCAGGCTGCCATAGGATGCAAGAGTGGTGAGTCACACCAAGACAATGCTGCTTTTCCCATTGGCAAAGTCTTCCGAAATCAGATGCGCGACATTCCATTCACGCCAATGGGACCGTTGCCTAGTGAAATAACATTGCAGGGAAAACTGTTCTTCCACTTGCCCTGGCAGCATCATGCTCACCTCAGCAGACAGGCAGCGACAACAGGCTCAGCTGCGGAGCTCAGACCCACCCTCAGAGACTCGATGCAGCTTGGAAAATTCCCTGCCTCTCAATGCATCTGTGCCTACCCCCATTCCGAACCCAGGCACAGACACTGTGAGGGGCCAGTGAAATGCTTGGGACAGAGAATGCTCTCTGGAGAGACAGCATACGAGGAGCTATGGACAGGAAGGATGGTCCAGAGTTTAGGGAAGTGGGTTCACTGCTATTGGTACCCACACTAGGTAGCTCGGGCCTGCCTCACATGTGCTACGATCACGCCCCCCGTCCCCTGATTGCATTGCAGACAGACCTAGAGTCTCTCTGTGACTCAGTTCCCCATCTCTAACATCCAGACAGTACTTCCCTCAAAGATTGTCGGGATCAGATGCAGGGGCATGGGGGCCATAGACAGAGTGGGGAAATTCTCAATCTTTTACGAGGGCCCAATCGAACTTCCACTGAAGTCAGTGCAAGTCTTTGCATTGACTGCACTGGGAGGTGTCTCCGGCCTTAAAACAGGACAGCAAGTATGTCTCTGTGGGAGTGAGGAATGATTGTATCCTGAGGTACCCATAGGGATGACAAGGAGCCTCCCAGAGCTGGCTGTCACAAATTAACTCTTCCTATGCTGTGGCCATTCCTAGTGGAATTCACATGCAAACTCCCATTGCAGGAGCTGAACCATGTGCAATCTGTATTGCTGTTTGCATGTTGGTAGTGGGTAGACCCCTGTGCTGGGCACGGCACATACATGTAACAAAGCAACAGGCCCTTTCCCTGTTGCTGGATCAGGCAGAAACCTTCGAAGGAATTCAACATCGAGCTTTCCGAGCTGACCAAGCAAGCCTTACATGGCTTCAGCCCAACATGATCTACAATGGCTGAGAGAATAACGCACTCAAAGCAGGAGTTCTGGAGGGGCAGGTCCTGGACAGCATGGCCTGAATTGATGCTATATTATAGTCATGCTTTCTCCAGCCAATGATGAGGACCTTGTCTTCGTTGGCCCACCACCACCTCCAGGCCTGGGGGCAGAGCACACTTGATGCTTAACAAATTAATAGTCATCATTAAAGTGAAAGCTGCTGGAGCTGCTTTAATCCCTTAGAAGTCCTGGGCCATTTTACTGCCTTCGGTCACTTTTTACAGCCAGGCACGTGTCTTTGCATGATTAATAACAGAGGTACCTGCACCAAGGATCAACTCGGTATGCACAGAGCCTCCAGCACCCCACTGTTCTACCTTTTGCTGAACGCCATAAACAACTGGTGCGTGTTTGTCCTGGGTAACGGGGCACTCCATTTACACGCGAGATTGTTTAATTGTTCCTGGGCATTGTAGACTTGAAGCGCAGGACAGTGATAGGCCACTTACAAACCTTGTACAGCACTGGACTTGGCCTGGTTAAAAACACAAGCAAGACAAACTGCTCAGTAATTAATTGCAAGAGTTATGGGTAAAACACACCACTTTACAGACCTGGAAGCGTATAACGTGGTTTTCTCCCAGAGTGGTTCTCTCTGCAGCTCCGGTTTGGTAAATCAGGCTGTAGTAGGTGTTGGGTTCGGTGCCTAAGGCTGTACCATCAGCACCCCGCTCTTAGGAGACGAGTGGGTGTCTCCTTTGCTGTACAAGCACATGGGCCAAGGAGCAAAATGAGGAGCAGCTAAGCTGAGCTGTCCCACTCAGTTCCCTAGTGAGAAGCCCCATAGCATCAGTCTTGTCAATTAGGCTTCTGGGAAAATGGATTTTGGTCAATACTGTACCGAGTGCAAGTTGTCGGGATGCTGGGCTCAGCTAAATTGAAGTGGGAATGGGGAGCTGCTGGGTTATTTCTTTTGAAAGCACCAAACACTTACATCCTGAAACTCCTCTTTGTGTCCCGCAAACACACTCCTGTGTGCCCAGTCGCACCATAGCGAGTGCTGACTGGGCTGACTTCTTGCCTGCAGTCGGGCTGCCAATCTGCAGTGTTCTGGGCTTGGCCCAGTGCTTCACTTTTGAGCATTTGTGCATTTAAACTGTGGCATCAAATGCAGGTGGGACAGCTGCACTTGACTCTGTGAAGTCAGGTGGGGATGCAGCAGAACTGCAAATGCAGAGAGGCAGGAGGGTTTCTCAGCATGGCCTGTACTGTAGCTTGTGTGTTACTGGACCGTAGGACAGGGACAGTTGGGAATTTGGAGGCGGAGGAGCAGGGGCATTTGCTAGCCCTGAGTGGATGGAGGGGTCAGAGGAGGTGGCTGAAGCTGGGCCTGGGGACAGGGGACACATGGACAGGATGTGGCATGTCCAGAATTGAGATGGTTTCAGAATCCCTCTGTTTGGTTTCTGGCCATCATTTGTCTAGACCTAGGGACCCAGGAAATGATCAGCGGAGGGTCAGCCTCGCCTGGGGGGATCACTGTTATGGGCTTCTGCTCCCAGCATCGGGCACAGCGCTGGGGCGATAACCGGCCATGCAAGGGGCTGTTTCCTAGTGGTTCTCTTGTCATGTTTAAAAAGAAAGAGCGGGTTGTACTGGGTGTCTGCGGGAATCTGCCCTTCTCCTCGGACAGCAATTCCCGCTGGAGCCTGCCCAGCCTGCAGCCAGAGCCCCGCTTCCCCGCAAGCCCAGGGCAGGGCAGGCCCGGGAGCTGGGGACCGCCAGGGCAGCGGGAGATCGCGGCGGCTTTGCCCAGTGGGGGAAAGTTGATCTCGGGGGGTGGGGGGTTGCTCTACCCCCCGGGCTCTGCCGGCAAAGCCCCAGCGGGGGGGGCGGGGCCGGGCTGGGGGGCTGCTCTCCCCGGGCCGCCCCCACCCAGCTCAGCGCTTCGGGTCGCACAGCTCGGCCCATCAATCTCTCCGGCAGCGGGGCAGCCCCCGCCCGGGATAGGCCGGCGGCGGCCCGGCCCGGCGGCTCATTGGGCGGCGGGCGAGGGGCGGCCCGGCCCGGCCCAGCCACATGGCATTTAAAGGGCCCCGGGGCCGGGGCTCCCCACAGGCTGCTCCGTCCGGCCGCCGCTCGTCCTGCCGCGACCCGCTCCGCCAGCCCCGCGATGCTCTTCGACCGGCTCCGCCGCTTCTGCGTCCTGCTTGACTGCCCCGAGCTGGACTCGCCGCCCGTCTTCAGCCCGGGCGAGGCCGTGTCCGGCCGGGTGGTCCTGGAGCTGGCCGGGGAGGCGCGTCTCGGCGCCCTGCGGCTGCACGCCCAGGGCTGCGCCCGGGTGCACTGGACCGAGTCCCGCAGCGCCGGCTCCAGCACCGCCTACACCCAGAGCTACAGCGACCAGGTGCCGTTCCTGAGCCACCGCGACACGCTGCTGGCCCCGCCAGGTAGGGCCCGGGGCGCCGCTGGGCGCTGGCCGGGGCGGGGTGCTCGGGCCGGGCACCCCTGCGCCTGGTGCTTGGCCCGGGACTGGCCGGGGAGGCGGGAGGCGTCTCGCCGCTGGCGCTCCCCGGGACAGGCCGGGCGCGCGGCTCCGCTGCCGTCTGCTCCGCGTCGGCCGGGCCCTCGGCAGAGGGGACGCGCGGCAGCCGGGGCGGGTCTCGGGGAAGGTGCGGGAGGCCTGCGGGAGAGGGCGGGTGGGTCTCCGCCGAAACGCCGCCGCAGCAGCGCGTCCCGTAATTTTTTTACGTTTCCCTTCTCTGGTCCCGCCTCTCCTGGGCAGTGTTTGGAGAGGGATCGCGGGTGCGTGTTGAGCTGCAGGGCAGTAGTTTGTTTGCACATCAGTTACTTCGGCCAGCAGAAATGGCGTGGCAGGACTTTTGCGAGCTGCAGCGCAGGCGAGGAAGATCTTGGCATGTGTGGGGTTTGGTGTAACCCTGGAGCTCACCCGAATGTCCTCTGGGGTTTTAATAGTCAAAATATATTCACTTAAATAAATCTGATAGTCCTCTATCAAATGAGGACTCTTCTGTGTTCAATCTAAACGGCACCCTGCAGAGCCTCAGCCTGACCATGTGACAACTGTTGTGAATTCAGGTCTTTATTTTGCTTTTCTGTGTCAAATGCTTCAGCGACTCCTGAGTCAGAACGAAAGTAACGTGGCTAGTGGCTGGCTGTTTTGCACTTCCTGTAAAGTGACAGCCAAGCAGCACTCTTCCGATAAGGAAGTCTTGCAAGAAAGATATGATCATACTCATCTTAAATTTTTCTTGTCATCTCCCCAGACAATGGTGAAGTCACAGTTCTGCAGGCAGGAAAACACGAATTCCCCTTCACGTTTCAGCTCCCAGAGTAAGTTCAGTTTATTTGTTGTGTTCGCACCATTGCAAGAGTCTGCAGGACGGGGTGGGGGCAGTACAACTGGTTAAGGACATCAGCAGCTCCCCAGAGGAAGCCCAGTTTAAATATACAGGCTCTGGGTGTCTGCTCTGTAGGTGGATAAAGTGTCTCATTGTGAATCCCGTGGAGGAACCCACCCCTAACCATTTTCGCTTCTCCCCGGGCAGGACTCTGGCCACCTCCTTTGAAGGCCGGCATGGTAATGTGCGCTACTGGGTGAAAGCCAGGCTCCACAGACCCTGGTCAGTTGTCAAGAAAGCGAAGAAAGAATTCACAGTGATCGAGCCCATTGACATCAACACCCCGGCCTTGCTGGTAAGTGAACGCCAGCCAGAGCGACATGCCAAGACCTGAGCCAGTGTGCTCAAGCTGACCTTAGCTCGGACTAAGATTGATCAGGAGTGACTAGTGACACAGTAGGGCTGCCTTTAAAGAGCCAGATGTTCAGAACATGGCAGACACCTGCCCTCTCAAAGCATGTCTGTCGCTGGGCTCCCCAAAACAGAGGTGCTCCAAATGGAGCTTCTCTCAATCCTGCATGAAAACCTTGGCTTAAAAACATGAGGAGCCAGATCAGCATCTGCCCTGCCTGTTGTCCTGGCAGGGGGCTCTGCACAGCAAAACAAGAGATCAGTGGCAGAGAGTCTGAGCCCGGGCCAACTGACCTGGGCTCACAGGACTTGTGCGGCAGGGTGAAAAATATCCATGTAGACATCTGGGCTTGGGCTGGAGCCTGGCAAGTCTACACTGCTATTCTTAGCCCTGTGTGCAAGCTTGGGTCGGTTGACCTCAGCCCTGAGACTCACTGCCGGGGTTTGTTCTTGCTGGGTAGATGTGTCCTAAAGATGCAGGAGGAACCGTCCCTGAGACTTTTGCCCTCTGCTCAGTGGGTGCCTAATCTCTGATCACAACTCTAGCTGGAGACGAGCAATAAAATCTGCTTGAATGGGAGAGGACTGGCTGTGTGGCGATCCTAGGAAGTAGAGGTGGCTGGTGGCTCTTGCCTAGAAATAGCTGAAACTTGTATCACTTCTGTCCCTTCCTCTAGGCTCCTCAGGCAGGTGTGAAGGAGAAGCTTGCCCGCGCCTGGTACTGCAACCGTGGCCAGGTCTCTGTATCCGCCAAGATCGACCGAAAAGGCTACACGCCAGGTAACTGAACAGGCCACTCGCTGTTCAAAGGGTGCTGAATGTAACCGCCCTGGGTAATGCAGAGTGGGGCTTGAAAGGAGCTGAAGGGTTTATGGCAACGAGGCTCCTAGCACTGTGTTGTGATGGGGCTCTTCATACTGGTGTGAAGCTCCAGAGAGGCCCTGGCCCCTGAACCCTGCTCAGACATGCCCTTGTTTTGTGCAGCTTCTCAGGAACAAATAACTGAATGGCTGGAATTGCAGGAATGAGATGTAGCTTAACAAATGCGGTCCCAGGCTGTTCTGCATCTAAGCTGTGCCTGGTTTCTCTTGTGCAGTGCACACCACATGGCTGGGCCAGTGTTTGTTTTTCAATTGAGCCTGTCTCTCTCCTGCCAGGTGAGGTCATCCCCATCTTTGCTGAAATTGACAACTGCAGCACCCGCACAGTCGTGCCCAAAGCTGCCATCATCCAGACTCAGACGTTCATTGCCCGGGGAGCCAAGAAGCAGAAGAAGTCTGTGGTGGCCAGCATAGCAGGCGACTCCATTGCAGCTGGGAAGAGGGAAGTGTGGCATGGCCGAGCGCTGAAGATCCCCCCTGTGGGCCCCTCAATCCTGCAGTGCCGCATTATCCGTGTGGAATACGCCCTAAAGGTAGGAAGTGGAATAAATCTGACCTGCAGCAGAAGGCCTTGAATAAACAGGCTGATGGGCTTCTCTGGCAGCTGCCTACCTGATACATAGCCGTGACTGAGTGGGGCTTGGTCACTCTGCTGAAGTGCCCTTTTTGTGCTGGGGCCCCTCATGCCCGTGGGTGGGAGCTGTCCCCACAGAGCCATGCCGCATTGCCAGTGGCAGGGTGAATTCCTAGGTTCTTACCCTGTGCTAATATCCAGTCCCTCCTTCCCCACTCCATCAAACTTAAGTATTTTACTGTGCAGGTAAAACCTTGTATTCTTGCTGGAGAGGCTGTCTGCCAGCTTCTTCCTGCACCTGGCTTAGCCGCCTACCAAGGGAACCTGTTGCTGGCCAGGTCGTGCTTGCACCCCACCCCCATTGGGGAGAGTGGGGTGCTGCCTGTCCTCATGGGCTGAGGGAATGCTAAGGAGTGACCCCTGTGTCCTCCCCCCTCAAAGGTTTGTGTCGATATTCCTGGGACCTCCAAGCTGCTCCTGGAATTACCACTTGTGATTGGGACGATCCCACTGCATCCGTTCGGGAGCCGCACATCCAGCATCAGCAGCCAGTACAGCGTCAACCTGGACTGGCTCAGAATGGTGATACCGGAGGAGCCTGAAGGTAAGCATCTGTTCTTGGTGCTTTGGGATCCAGCCGCATGGGGCGGCAGCTCCAAGTGAGCTGGTCCGGAGGGAGTGTCTGGGCAAACTAGGAGCCTTGTCCTCTGCCCCGAACTCTGCCTAGCATGTGGCTTTGTGCGCCCTGGTGCTGCGGGGACCAGGTATCCAGGGGAGGGGATGTGGCTAAATGCAGACATAACTATCTGCATGTCTGCTGCTAGCAGATTCTTGCCTAACCACACAATGCCTCTGTTCTCCTTCCAGCTCCCCCTGAATATTCGTCTGTTGTGTCCAGTGAAGAGTCTGCTCAGAACCTGTCCCCACCCTGCCCGGGTGAACTCGGCAATGGCTTGGAAGGTCCTTTCTTTGCTTACATCCAAGAGTTCCGCTACCGTCCTCCTCCACTGTACTCAGAGGTAAGTACAGCCTCCCCTGGGAGGTCGGGCTAGGGGACCCTTGCTGGGATGACTCTCCCTTTGGTGTCTGGTACAACTCCACTTGGCTTTTCAGGTGGATCCAAACCCCACACCAGACAGCATCCGGCCACGCTGCATGACCTGTTGAAGGAAGCGTCACTGAGTGCAGTTATTAGAATACCAATCTGGTGGGGCTGAGACGCTTGCAGACTCGCAGGACATCAGCCCTGGGTATCCGGATCGGCGTCCAAGAGGCTATTGTGGGGCTGGAGCTCGTGTGGAGCTGAGAACCTGTTTGCTCACTGCCGCCTGAAACTACCTGATGATGCTGCATCTCATGGACTGACTCCTCTTGCCCCAGAGCTGAAACGAGGGGGTTGGACTTGCCATGTGGGGTCAGAGCAGCTCCTGAGCACATGAGCAAGGGTGGCAGAGGAGGGTGTAGGGTTAAGAACTCTTCTGCGGGAGTATAGGGTTCAAACAAGCCAAGCTCCTTCATCTTGCAGCTACCATGGTCATGCTCCACCTAACTCCTGCCAATAGAAAACAGGACTGGGAAGTGCTTCTTGGGATTACTGGAAAGCATTTTAATCTTGCTCTGGGTAAGGGTTTAAACACCATGGTAATCTGAGGGCACCCTCCAGCTTCTGCATTCTTATAAAGTCACCAGGACTTCAGTTTCTGAAGAATTAAATGGGGTTGTTCTCCTCAGACTGAGGCTCAGCCCTTGCTGTCCAGCACCCATGAGCCTTAAGTTGTGCCCCGGGGTGCCTGCTGCCGGGGCTGTGCATTGCATCTGGTCTAACACACTCTGAGACATTAAATGTGTGAAGACTGTTCCCTTGAGTCAAGGATTGTATAGGTGCCAGGGGGGGCAAGAGCTGTGAGCTCAGGGAAGAACTCCTGTTCTATAAACCGCAGCAAGATCTATGGTGCTGTCTTGGTCACCATGTCTAGTTTGGTCCCTACCAGGCACCAGACAAACTTGCAAAACCCATTGAACCTTCCACTGATGCAGAAAGCTGTGCCTTAATCTTTAAAGGGCTTGTGCCTTTGGGGCTGCTAGAATGGTTCCAGTAGCATTTGATTGCCCTCTCTATATATTTGCCAGAGTAAAAGGTGAATGGGGAAAGCTGCCAGGCGCAGGGCCATACAGTTGCTGACATGGTCAGTGTCCCATAGCCCAGCACTGGGAGAGTATGTGTGATGAGGCCTGTAGACACTATAGGCAAGTAGGTAAGAGCCTTAAATCCAGTCCTGTTGCATGTGGAGTTGCCTGTGGACTTGCTGCCTTGTTAACACTTCACCCAGCACCTAGTGGGAAGAGCCACAGGTCTGTCTGCCATTAGCAGAGTGAGGAAGATGCTGCTGATGGTATGCACTGAAAGCTGGTAAATCCTGTTAGCAGGGGAAAAAGAGGTTGTAATGAAGACTGCTTGGGTGCATCTGCCTTTGGCTTCAGGCTGGTCTTACTGCTCCCTGTGCAGACTTGACAAGAGATCTTGGCCATTGATCATTCGTTAGTAAACGATGCATTCCATGATCTGAGGCTAAAACTACCAGCTTGCTGGTTAAAACCACTGACAGCCACAGTATTCCAGCTCAGAGCCAAAGCAAAAGGTCCCTAACCAGCTTACTTTAGCTATGCAGTCAGCTTCCTCCACTAAGGACCGGAAACGCAAGCTTTTTTTAAAAAAAAAATTTAATATACCTGTAACTGGTGTGTTTTTTGACTAATTCTGCTTTTGTACAACTCCAGGTTTTGAAATAAACTCTTGTTATTCTGAAGTTAGTGTCTGAATAGTGTCCTGGAAACTCTACCTCCTGTCCTCTTCTGCAGGGCCCCCCTGTTGGCATGAGGGTGTTGCAGGACTGCTGATGTGTATTTAGGGGAGCTCTCAGGCAGGCTGCCTGGTCCATTCCTACCCACTACTGACTTCCATAGTCCCCGGCTAGGGATGGCTGGGACCTGTCCATGCCCTTCTATGTTTGGGGCCCAGATCCTGACATGCTAACCCAGCCCTCTCCCATCACTGTGAGTCAGCCCCCTGGCTTCTGAGAAGCTCAGGACTGCTCTGCACAGCTGTCCAGGGGATCCAAAAGTGGTTCCTGATCTCACCTGAATTCAGCTGCCTCATCCCAGCCCATGGGAGGGTGTCACCTACCCCTGCTGCAGAGGGATGCTGAAGTGCCCAGAAGGCCACACAACATGGGAGGTGGAAATGGAACCAGAGTCCTGACCCCAGGCTACTCAGCAGTGGAAGTTGCCAGTCCCATCCAGGCACTGCTGCAGGGAGAACAGGCCAGCTGGCCCCTGGAGCAATGGCACGTGCTGGGTTCAGCAGAGCATTGTGGGGTGGTCGGGGTTGTTTGTGCAGCGGTAGCTGGGAGAGGAGGCGAGGTAGAAGTGCACAGCTCTTGTAAGCACACAGTGGCTATGCATTGCACTTGGCTGGCCTAGGACAGACTGGTCCCTAGGGCCTGATCGCCCCTCCAAAGCCTGGAAGCAGCCCCGGGGGGGCTCAGGCTGGTGGGGAGTGGGGTAGGTCACCCTGCCTGGTGCCAAGAGACCAGCACAGTTCATTAGCACTGAGCCCTCAGGTGGGGGCAGCGCCTTGGGGGCAATGATTGCGGAGGTGCTGGGTAAGGGAGGGGCAGCAGGGCCCCCCATGAGGGGCACAGGGGGGCATGCCAGGCTGGGCACAGGGACTCTTACAGCTTTGAACACAGGTGCAGCGGAGCCCAGCCTGCTCTGTGATGGTGCGGCTGGGCCAGAGGAGGGGCTAGGCTCCTGGGCGGAAGGAGGCACGTCAGCTGCTCATTAAAGGCTCCTTCTCCCCCTAACCCAGGTTAATCAGGTCCCACAGCAGATGCCGCGCTTGACACTCCTATTGCCTGTCTCTGCGTGGGGCCTTGGGGCACTGCCTTGGCCTAGGTTCGCTTAATTCATTTCCTGTTTTTGGTATTGTATTTTTCCACCCTTGGGTTCTATGTCTCTGCAGCAGCCAGAGTGCTGTCCAGAAGCCAAATGCAGCCACCCTGATACTGAGGACCTGGTGGGCCCCAGCAGGGAGCCACTTGGGTCAAATTGGAGCACCGTATGCTGGGCCCTGTCAGCGCCACGGACTGCACTCTTGGCTTAAGCTATAGCACTTTGTGCCATAACACGGGGTTGCAAACTTATTTTTAATTTGCAGACCCCTAAACAATGTCACCTGCTGGCCCGGCCCCATCACCCTGGGTGGCTGCAGGCTGTGCTCAGATACCTCGCAGCGTTCGTGCTGCTGTTGGCAAACAGTGTTAGGCCTCTGTAAAGAGGTGTGCTCTGGGGCTGCACCTGGGCCAGCGCCCGTGTTTACACTTGGCACCTGTGCCCTTGCTCTTTCTCATGGTTTTTTCCTAGTGGGTGCAAAAACCAGCCCGCTGTTTATGGGGAAACATGTTCCAGTGTGTTGTCAGTACTCCTACAGCCCCGCTCTTCCCCCCATGATCCCTGGCAGGGGGAGAGTGTAGTGTGAGCTGGGCACTGGCCTGGCACCTTAGGGAATCCAACCCAACTAGGCACCACGTCAAGCTACAGCCTGCGACTAAGACTTTTTTCAAGCGGAGATTCTTCCAGGAATTCTCCCAGGGGTTGCTGTAAAGCCGTCGTACACTTGACTAAACCAGAGGGTGCATTAGGAGGACGTGCTATGTCTGTTCCTAAGCAGAGGAGGACTGGAAAATGTCTTTCACCATGTACATAGTGTATTACACGGAGATGGGCTGTGTCTAAACCCAGGACGCCTACGTATTGTGTGTTTGCATGCAGCGGAGACAGGCTGACATCACGCGAACAGGTTTCATAATCGGAATACCTCGTGTGTGTGTGTGGGGTGGGTGCTTTGAACTTTTTACTCACAGATTGTTTATCTCCCCAGGTTCCAATGTCTCGTGCCTCGGCCTGCCTGTGTATTTACGATTCCTTTGTTTATAAATTCAGCGGGGTTTTGTGTCTGATGCTATTTACCATCCGAGTCCAGGTGCGGGTGCAGCGACCAGTACAGCAGTGTAATGACTCTTCTCTTTGCCCAGCGTGTCTGTGTGTCTTGCCGTGAGGCCATGCAGCACATCGCACCCTGGGCGCTAAGAGTTACCACAAACCGGAACGTTTGTCGCTGACGGGTTGCGGGGCATTGTCCTGTTGCTCTTGCCCCTGCTTCCTTGGATTGGGCATTGGACCAGGCCTTTGTCTCAGTGTTGCTCACAAATGTATTTCACAGCTGCCCATAGAAAAGCAGGAGCTCTCTCTCCAGCGTGCATTCCCTCTCCAGCTCCCTGTGGAGCCCTGGCTGGGTGTAGGGCTCCCAGGCCCCCAGCGCAAGCCCCTGCTGCTTGGCTTTGTTTGCTTGTGACAGATGCTGCAGCGTGGCAGGGCTGGAGTGCGCTGCTGCCCGGCTGCTTAGTCACAGCCAGGACACAAGGAGCTCTCAAGCACCTGACAGTGAGCGAACAAATGAGTCCTTGCAAAATGCAGCCAGTGCTGGGCTGCGTGGGCTGGCTGGTGGCCTCAGGGATTTACCATTGTGACATGGGCTCAGGCTAGTGCCCCATGGACAAGTGTCCAGCTGACAAAAACCACTGTCCCCTTTGGCTTACCTGTTCCCCTTGGCGGCAGCCCCACAGAGACTTGGCTGAGGTCAGTGGGAGCCTCCGCCTCACATAAGCCTCAGCCACAGAGCTGCCCTTGGGAAGGTCCTTTTGGGCACACGGGCAGGTGCAGGGTTGGCACGCTTGCCTACTGCCTCGGCTGTTGTGTGCAGGACGTGGTGTATCCACGGGTTCCTGGCCAGAGCTCTGCGCCCACCACACATCCACACCCCCTGAACACAGAGCTCCCCCCGCAGCTTCCCCACGTGCCAGGCTGGGCTGGCGATCAGCAGGGTGGGTGCTGAGGCCATGGGGGGGGGGGGGACGAGCCAGAGGCGATCAGCGGGGTGGGTGCTGAGGCCGGGGGGGGGGGACGAGCCGGAGGCGATCAGCGGGCTGCAGAAGCACCAGCGTTGTGTCGTTTCGGTTTACTCGGTCAGGGAGGCACAGACCGTCCTGTACGACGCCGCTTACACAACGGCACCCAAACAAGTGCAGAGCTCTGAGCGGCACGTGTGCGGCGACCTGATCCTGAGCAGGGGGCGTGTTGTAGTATTACGGTGCTGAGCCTATTTATGACACCTGGTCCAGCTGGGAGGGAAATGCTTTGGAGACTCCCAGGGACGATGCTGCCAGTGGTCGCTAGGTCTAGCTCTACTCCCTCCCTTTTCTCAAATTTTATTTTATTTAAGGGCTTGTTTATGCTCCTTTCTATTTTTTTTTTTTTTTACGCTATTCCTCCCCAGCCAGGAAATGGCCCAGCCCGCAGCTGGCTCTGGAGCATTGGGCCCCTCCCAGAATCTCAGCCTCCAAGCAAGACACCCCGAATTGGAATCAGCTGGGGCTGTTTGCTGAGCAGTCTGGGGCCAGCTTGTAACCCTTCCTTAGGTTTCCTAGTGCAGCTGCTTTCAGCTAACCTAACGGCTCCCCTGGATTCCCCAAAGGCCCCCCGGTGCCCCTCAGTTCACGGTCAGCAAGCCCTGGCCCCGCTCCCTGGCTCACATGTGCCCCTGGGGGTCTCTCTCTCTCTCGCTGTCTATGTTGCACAGGGAAGGCAGGGGCATTTTCTGGGTGTTAATCCTCTATGGCCAGGCCTCTCTCTGTACAGGGAGAAACATGCTTCAGGTTACTGCCTGGGGGCCTTTCTTATAGTGCTGGGGGGGGTGTGTGTCTCTCTCTCTATTGTTTTTTAAATACCTATAACATACATACCGCAACATACAACACGCATCCGTGCCGCATGCCTCTCAACTGCTCTCAAAGCATGTCAGAACTAACGGCGCCCCAAGCCCATGTGGTCAGACAAGCTTAGCATCCCCACTCTGCTGTGGTAAAGAGCTGGGAGAGGCTTCCTGCAGGGCACCCAGCAAGTCCTGGGCAGAGCTGAGCCTAGAGCTCTGGGGCCTTCCTCCCCATGCTCTAGGCACATGCTGATACCTCCCCATGGGGCAGTGAGCACGCGGCTGCAGTTTGTCCCCAGAAGCACACAGAGTGAACATGGAGTGTGCATGTCCCAGGCAGGAAAGCAGAGAGCGCCCCACAGCTGGGTACCAAGGCAGACAGGTAACTCGAAAGAGCCCACGCCAGGGGCTGACACACAAGGCCAGCAGTCACCATTTGACCGATGTCTCCTTGGGCTGGTGCCGTAGCTGGTGAGTTGGAAACAAAGTGCAAATTATCGAAATGCTCCCGATGAGAAGTGAGCTGTAGCTGACGAAAGCTTAGGCTCAGATAAATTGGTTAGTCTCTAAGGTGGCACAAGTCCTCCTGTTCTTTTTGCAGTTTACCCAGGAACTCCCATGGCAACTGCAGCAAGGCTGGCTGCTAAGGGTGAGAATCCTGGCCACACCTGGAATGAGCTACAATTCCTTTTTAGGTTGGGACCCCGACAATTACAACACTGTGAAATTTCAGATTTAAACAATTGACATCATGAAATTTACGATTTTTTAAATCCTATGACTGTGAAATTGACCAAAATAGACAGTGAATTTGGTAGGGCCCTAGTGATGAGCTTTCCTGCTGCTTGTGAAACTGATATCCCCAGGTAACTAACCCCCTTCTTGAGGTCCTGGTGTCCCTGCTGCCTTTGGGGTAACTTGAGGGCAGAAGCCAGCGGGCCCAGGCTGTGAGGTATTGTACTGGCAAGCTGTGTGTTT